CTACTAAATCAGTAGAGCTGAACTTTCAACATGTGTATATTTTGTATTTAGTTTTACTCTTGTACATAGTTTCTATCCCTTGTATTAAGTTTTTAGAATCGTCACTCTACTTTTGGTTTTTGTCGCATTGAACAAATTATCTATTTGTGGGCACTAAAACGGTCGTTTTACTATATCCATCGTGGGCTCGACCAAGCCCAGAATGGGGGCAACTAAGTGGCAAGGTAAGGAGCCAAATATATCCGGAATAGACCGCCCATGAGAAATTCCTGTAGAGTTACTCGCCAGGATGCGTCCCGGGACCCCATAGCGGCAGGCTAACGCTTAATTGCCTCGACCATCCTGCCAAACCCTTTAAACCCTTTCTTTTTCTGTCCAGGTCGTCTCTTGCATCACTCTTGAATCTATCTTTTCTCTTTCCCTTCTTCCCTCCCCTTTAGCCTGAACCTTTGAGTAGGCTATTGTCTTTCTTCTATTACTATATAATCACATGATTAAAGCACCATTTGCGTCACGTTTCTTAGTTATAGTTTGAGGAAAATTTATTTTAAAATATCAAAACAGGTTTAGATTATTATTTATAAAAGAAATAAATATAGTCTTTTGAGAGATTTATAATTTAATTTAAAATATATTATTTTACAACGTATTCTCTTAACTATAATATATTCCTTGCATGGTTGAAGTTAGGAATTTTTAGATAATAATTTTTATTTAATTGAATATAACATGATATCAGATATTGATAAGCATTTATAATGATGAATTACGTGTTATACCGGATTTAAATATCAAAATTTTAATCAGTAAAATAAATATACACTTAAAATGATATTATACAGTACATATGTGTAAAAAAAATTAAATTAAAATTTTAAATGTTTATAGTATTAATTAATTAATTTTTTTAAATAAATTTTCCTTATATTTTTTTACATTTTAAAAGCATTTTGTAAGTATTTTTATTACTTAATAAACGAGGAAACGTTTTTTAAAATGTGCCATACATATTAACATTTTGCACGCGTACTTACTACACCTTTGCATTTTAAAGGCAATTAACTATTTTGATGATAATAAAAAGATGTAACCGAAAAAAAATTAAAGATTAATGATAATTTAAAGTTGTTTAGTAAAATTATATAAATTATTTTTATAATAATATCAGACGATCAGAATATATGAGGTTTAAATTAATGAATCGTGTCAAGATTAAGCTTACCTACTTGATGATTAGTAATGTTTAGCAGTATATTATAATTTATATTAGTTTCCGTACTATAATTTATACTGTAGTATAATTACTCTATAATATAAATTACAATTCTAGATAATTAAGATATGTTTGGCTGAATATTTGATGAAGTAGTTAAAATAGATTTTGGTGATCATTTAGGCGAAGAAGCAAAAGATAATAAAGTTTTAGTTAATTAAAATTAATTTATAGAAAAATATACGTATTTGGAAAAGTAAAATTTTGTATTTTTGGGGGTATAATTTTATTGTAATTAACGCCTACACAATATTATTTTTAGGTAGGTGTAGTGAAAAATACATGAAAAATAGCTCGCAGTTGTTTTGTGTAGGTGTTTTAATTTCATAATAGATTAAATAAAACAAATTGATATAATAAAATTTTACCAACTTTTATAGCATTCTTTTAAAAATATTATATTAAAAGTGATTTAATATCATTTATAAAATGATATTTTCGAATGTTGGACGTTTTCGGATTGTTGCGTGTTTTTATCAGTTTATATGCAATTATATTTCGTAATATATTGTTAAAAAGTCAAATTTGATAAGAAAATATGCAATTTTAAACAATAAATTTTTATAGAAAAAAAATATATATATAAATGTTTTGGATCTACAATGTAAGATTTGAAGAAATATCAGAAGATATATGAGAATGTTGACATTTGTAACTGGTCATAGAATACATTTTTGAAAATAAATAAATAAATATAGGCCTATATATATACTTGAATAATATTTTTTAAGAAAAATAAACAAAAATACAACTTTCAACAATATAAACAACCAAAAAAAAAAAATTGATAAAAGTTTTAAAAAATAACATTTTAAAATAGAATATTTTTTTCATATAAAAATATAAAATAACATGAATGTTTATTACTTTATATCAGTTATATTTACTTTAAAAATTTAATAGAGTTTTAATTTTAATAATTATATAAATATATAATTTTATAAAAATAAATGAAATTTAATTAATTTAAGTTTTTAACACGAAATAAAATTAGTGATTTGTGCCAAGGATGTTGCGAGGTTGCAATTAAAAAAAATTGTAATTTTTATAAATCAAAAACCTTGCTTAATCAATTTTATTACATTTAAAAATATCGCTGTCAAATGTAAATAAATTTTATATGTGAAATTCTCATCGAATGGGAATTTTGTTGATCTCACGTTCTTGATGACCCATGCTTGAATGAACACTTTACGCATAAGTACCAACGAGTTAACTAGAGTTGAAAGTATTTATTTTTAGTCCTTATTGATAATTTTATTAGAAAATAATATTAAATAAAATTAAAATGTAATATTATCTTTAAAAAAACACTGGAATTTAAACAAGGCCATATTGAAAACATAGCTTTAAAAATCTCATAAACAAAGCAGTCATGTGAATGCATTTTTAGAGAATAATATAATTTAATACATAAATATATTATATTATTTTTAAAGCTAAACTTCTTACAATNAAATAGATTATTCAACATTTAAGTTTGGAAAGAAAAACCTACGTTTTCTCTGTACTTTTTTTTAAAATGTACTTTAAGAACAAATTGTCTTCGATTGTAGAATTACAAAAAAGTCAAGTTTAAAATCTTATAAATAATTCAGTTAACAATCATTTCATCCAATAGAATTGAATGTATTAAGCAATTAAATGTAAAATTTCTTTCCTTGTATACATTACACGTTGCCCTATTGTGTAACACAAACGTTTATAATCCTGTTTGCGTAAATGTGTTTGTATGTAATATAATAAATTAGACTTTATATATATATAAAGACTTATCTTAAATATTCAAAAATAAATTTAAAGTAAATGAAGCTTGTATGTTTAGGTGATTTGATATTCTTTTCGTGATAAGAATTTTGATTATTTAATTTCGAACGGAATATCGATAATTTCTAACATTAAATTTCTTCCCCTCTCAAAAAAAAAATTACTTTTACATTTTAAAACTACATATACATAATCAATATAAAGTAAATTAAATTTTTATTACTCGTTCAATAAATTATATACGCATTTAAATTTACGAAAATTTATATTCGTTTTACGTGATTTTTTACGTGTTATTTATATTGTGGCAATGATAATAATTAACTTAAACATTATTATCAAAACACTTTTAATCCTGAAGGAACGAATTAGTATTTTGTGAAAGAGAAAATCTTTAAAGAGTTATTTTAATATTCTAAACGTTAAGTTACATCAATTATTATGCCTTTCTCCGACTAATTAAAGTCAATGCTTTTCCTATAAGATATATTATTCTTTTATTTAAAATCAACAAACACATTTTGTTGTAAGGAAAGTCACGGAAAGTGTTAAAGAAATTCGTGAATTATTCATTAAGGAGGAGAAGATAAAAAAAAAACTCTTTTAATGTCGACACAAATCCTTTAGAATATGTTACTTCTCTTTTCATTAACTAATAGAATTTTATTTCGAGATTTATGTTTTATTTTATTTTTTAAAAATATGATGTTTGTNTTTTCCTATAAGATATATTATTCTTTTATTTAAAATCAACAAACACATTTTGTTGTAAGGAAAGTCACGGAAAGTGTTAAAGAAATTCGTGAATTATTCATTAAGGAGGAGAAGATAAAAAAAAAACTCTTTTAATGTCGACACAAATCCTTTAGAATATGTTACTTCTCTTTTCATTAACTAATAGAATTTTATTTCGAGATTTATGTTTTATTTTATTTTTTAAAAATAACAATTTTCTTTTTAAAATAATTAAAATTTAAAAAACAAACTAATTTGAAAATAAATTATTAATTTAAAAAATACTTTTAATAAAATTATTTCTAAAAATTTTAAATAATGAAAAGGAAACTTTTACTTCTTTAAAATTGTTTATTTATTTATTTTTTAAAAGTATAATAATAAATAATAATGTTTTATTTATTTTTTTTATTTACGTATGTTATAAGTTATACTTCTCTCTCTAATTAATAGCAGTAAATTATATTATTTTAAAAATATTTTTATAAAAATGTTTATATTTTTCGAATAAATTACAAACTAATTTTATTAATTTATTTTAAAAATTAAATTAAAGAAGATTAGAAAAAAAGGCAAGTCTTTGATACATTAAAATTATTTCTATTATTTTTATTATTATTTTTTAAATTTATGTTTATTTCTGCAACTTATCATAAATCAAGTTGTAAGTTGTACTTCTTGTTATGGATTTCTATATCTAAAACACTAAATTAATATTACTACTTTAAATTTATGTTCATAAAAATTCATTTTTTAAAAGATTTATTTTACAATTCATTTTAATTTTAATCACAAGTGCATAGAAAAATTCAAAAAAATAAGAAAAATCAAGGCCATTCCTCATACAGATACATGCTTAATCACCTTTACATAAATATATTTTATTCAATAAAAGGAGTTCGTATCTCTGTTAAAATCTTATAAAAACTGTAAATATATATATAAATTACAATTTAATATTTATTAATTTATAAAAATAAAACGTATAATGACTTTACACTTCCTAAAAAAAACACGTTGTAAAAGTAAATGAAGCAGGCATTTTAAAGGGTTTTTTTTTATTACCAGAAAGTTAAATCGACTTTATACATTATTTAAAGTAAAGTGTGAATAATTAAGTCAAACAAAAATTCAATTTTTAATTATTTAAAAGTAAATATTCATAAAATAAATTTGTGTAAAATTATAGTCTATTAGATTTAATGATGGAATTTTATCGTTAAAGGTAATCACTGTTAATGTAAAGACTGTACACGTTTACTAGTTGCTGACATGCAATCTTATAGGAGATGATGGACAGTTTGGCATGCGTGTTGTGTCTACTAAAGTCCATTCAACTAGTGTACTAAATAATCAAGTTAAGGTACTATGTTATAAGTATTTAATTTAGTTACAACTCGGTTTAATAAATAACAAATAAAATTAAAGAACAAACTAATTTAATATTCACTAAATTTAGCAATAAAATAAAAAAAAATTAAATCGATTTTTTTTGTTTTTAAATCAATACTTTCTCAAAGTTTATCTTATATTTTTTCAAATAAAAATTTATTATGAATTCATTTTAATTAAGTAAAATTTGTAATTATTTTTTAAAGAAAATTAATTAAAATATAAGAATTAAATAAATGTAATTTAATATTTTAATTTTCATAAATTATTTTGAATTATATAAAATCAAAAATATTTTACATA